CCTGGCTTTTAATTCTGCCATTCCATAAAATATTACCACCTGCACCATTCCATGTAAATTAGATTTTGTACTAAGTATAAATAAGATTTATTAAGTCCAAATAAGACTGTAAAACAGCTAACCACTATTCTATGTTTAGTTTTAAGTAATAATTACTATGTACTATTATCTTATCTAGTTTTAATTAGTTACTATGTATTAGGATTAGTTTGCCCGAAATGCCTCGGCATGATAGTGGCTATCTTTGTACCTAGCAAATCAAAATTGTAATTACACATTGTAGCCTTTACAAAGAAATAAAATTATTATTATTATCAATACAAACACTTTACATTGTGTACAAGTTGTCTCCACGTTGGTACAGTAGAATACATAAAGAGAAACACTCCATTCTCATGTAACACACAATTTTTAGAAGGAATGATGCTCTGAGTGAGGGCATACGAAAGGAATAATTTTTTCCAGTTACCCCTAGTAATACTATTGTGTATACATTTTCTTTGGTGTTGAACTAGAGAAGACATTATTCTTTCCAACATTGACAAGACAGCTGGAAAAACTTCTCATATTTATGTTAATTTATTCTACTGTTGGGTGTATTTATCATGTTTATATGTTACATAGCATGTTTGTTATATATTTTTGAAAAATATATCAATGGATTAATGAAAATGCCTATATTAATGTAATTAATCTGATTATTATTGCACATTATTATTATTATTAACATTATTAATATGGTGTCTTCAAGACTAATAAGACACTCTTAGTGATTTTAATGTGTGCCTGCAAGCCAACACAGTGTGTAAGATTATTTAGGTACAGGTACACATAATTATCAGAGTATATATAAAACATGAAATAACTTTAAAATACCTGAAATTTTGGAAAGTTTCCAGACATAATGGAGAAACATGGAGATCACGGAGCTCATGGAGAATGTAAACAAACCAGGTGGGGCGTGGTGACCGTATTAGAAAGTCAGGTGGGGGGGAGCCGTACGGCAAGTTTTGGTCATAATTTGAAATGTCCGTGTTGGCGGAACACCATAAAGCAAAGCCCTACTGTACCTATTTTCATGTGTGTTTATGAGACAAAAAAAAAAAAAGACATCAGCAATCCTACCATCATGTAATACAAATACAGATTTCTATCTTACACTCATTTGGCAGAACAGTATACTTTCCTGGGTGGTTGCTGTCTACCAACCTACAAAAACAAATGGCCAACGTTTTAAAAAAAAATTTTCTTTTTTTTTTTCAACAAACCGGCCACATCCCACCAAGGCAGGGTGGCCCAAAAAGAAAATGAAAGCTTTTCTTTTTAAATTTAGTAATTTGCAGGAAAAGGGTTACCAGCCCCCTGCTCCGGGCATTGTATCGCCTCTTAAAACACGCATGGCTTATGAGGAAGAATTCTGTTCTACTTCCCCATGGAGATAAGAGGAAATAAAAAAGAACAAGAACTAGAAAGAAAATAGAAGAAAACCCAGAGGGGTGTGTATAAATATAGCTTGTACACAAATGTGTATTGTGACCTAAGTGTAAGAAAAATAGCAAGAAGTACCTGAAATCTTGCACTTTAAAAAAAAAAAAAAATTATATACAGTGGACCCCCGCATAACGATTTAATCCGTGCAAGAGGGGTAATTGTTATCGAAATAATCGGTATGTGAATGAATTTTCCCCATAAGAAATAATGGAAAAAAAATTAATCCGTGCAAGACACCCAAAAGTATGAAAAAAAAAATTTTTACCACATGAAATGTTAATTTTAAATACACACAAACTGAAAAAGGCATGCACACTTACTTGACACTTACTTTTATTGAAAAATCGGGTGATGATTGATGGGATGGGAGGAGGGGAGAGAGAGTGTTAGTTTTTAGAAGGAAATCCCCTTCCATTAAGACTTGAGGTGTCGAGTCCTTTTCTGGGGTTACTTCCCTTCTTCTTTTAATGCCACTAGGACCAGCTTCAGAGTCACTGGACTTCTTTCGCACAACAAAATCTGTCCCGTAGTGGCCTTACCTCTCTTTCCTTTATGACTTCCCTAAAGTGTTTCACAACATTGTCATGTAATAATCACCAGCACGGTTTGTAATAGCGTGTGAGGGTGATTTTCTCAAAAAACTTTGCACTTCAAGCCACTTTGCACACATTTCCTTAATCTTTGTAGTAGGCAACTTCTTCAATTTCTCTCTCCCCTCCTCTGAACCAGTTTCCTCAGGTCTGGCCTCTTGCTTTTGAAGTTGATCTATCAGCTCATCAGTGGTTAGTTCTCATTGTCCCCCCTCCACCAACCTTCCACATCCTCCCCACTAACCTCCAACCCCAAGGACTTTTTCCCAATGCCACAATGGATTCCTCAACTGGGATAATCCTCTCAGGGTTAGCCTCAAACCCTTCAAAATCCCTTTTGTCTACACATTCTGCCACAGTTTCTTCCAAGCAGAGTTCAAGGTCTTCTTTGTCACTCCCTCCCAAGCCTACCATAAGGGTTTAAAACAATTGAGGAATTAAAGTCTCTCTCCAAAACTCTCTTTGGTCCCGTTGAGTTTCTGGGGGTCACACAAAGCACCTTTCAAACAGAGCTTTTGTGTACAGTTTTTTGAAGTTTGCAATAACCCCGCTGGTCCATGGGCTGCAGGGAGGGGGTGGTATTAGGGGGCAAAAACTTCACCTTAATGAAGCTCAGTCCCCATAAAGTCGCTCTTTCCAGTCTGTAGGATTGACCAGGGGCCATTGTCCCAAAACCAGGAGGCACTTAAGTTCTAATTTCTTTTCAGTTAGGTAATCTTTCACATTTGGGGGAAATGCATGGTGTAACCAGTTATAGAAAAAGTCCCTAGTGACCCATGCCTTACTGTTTGCCCTCCACAGCACACACAAATTAAACCTTGAGGACATTCTTTTGCCTGAACGCTCTGGGAGTTTCAGAGTGATACACTAATAAAGGCTTAACTTTGCAATCACCACTAGCATTGGCACACATCAACAAAGTAAGCCTGTCTTTCATAGGCTTAGGGCCTGGGAGTGCCTTTTCCTCCTGAGTAATGTAGGTCCTGCTTGGCATTTTCTTCCAAAACAGGCCTGTTTCATCACAATTAAACACTTGTTCAGGTTTCAGTCCTTCACTGTCTATGTACTCCTTGAATTCATGCACATATTTTTCAGCCGCTTTGTGGTCCGAACTGGCAGCCTCACCATGCCTTATCACACTATGTATGCCACTACGCTTCTTAAATCTCTCAAACCAACCTTTGCTGGCCTTAAATTCACTCACATCATCACTAGTTGCAGGCATTTTTTTAATTAAATCCTGATGCAACTTCCTAGCCTTTTCACATATGATCGCTTGAGAGACGCTATCTCCTGCTAGCTGTTTTTCATTTATCCACACCAATAAGAGTCTCTCAACATCTTCCATCACTTGCGATCTTTGTTTCGAAAACACAGTTAAACCTTTGGCAAGAACAGCTTCCTTGATTGCCTTTCTGGTGCCCACAATAGTAGCGATGGTTGATTGGGGTTTCTTGTACAACCTGACCAGGTCGGCGATACGCACTCCACTTTCATACTTATCAATGATCTCTTTCTTCATTTCTATTGGAATTCTCACCCTTATTGGTGTACGGTTGGCACTAGAAGCTTTCTTGGGGCCCATGGTCACTTATTTTCCAGAAACAGCACCGAAAACACTGTAATAATACGAAATATTCCGATTGTATGCTTGGATGTTACCGCGGAGGCTGGCTGGTAAACAATGGCACGGGCGGCACATGTGAGGCTGGCTGAGGGCGCACATTGGACGCGTCTCGGACGAAAATCGGTGAGCGGGTTTTTAAGCGGTATGCGCGGCAAAATTTTTGCGATTAAAGCAAGCGGTATGCGGATTAATCGCTATGTGATGCCATCGTTATGCGGGGGTCCACTGTATATCTATATAATAATACAGTGGACCCTCGACATTCGATACTAATCTGTTCCTGAGAGCTATCAGATGTCGAAAATATCGAAAGTCGAATTAATTTTCCCCATAAGAAATAATGGAAATCAAATTAATCCGTGCAAGACACCCAAAAGAATGAAAAAAAAAATTTACCACATGAAATATTAAGTTTAATGCAATAGAATAATTACAATAACAACAATAACAATAGAATAATTGAAACTTACCTTTAATGAAGATCTGGTGATGATTGATGGGATGGGAGGAGGGAAGAGTGTCGAAGTTGTTACTGTTTAGAACTTGGGGTAGCAAGTCCTTTTCTGGGGTTACTTCCCTTCTTCTTTTAATGCCACTAGGACCAGCTTGAGTCACTGGACCTCTGTCGCCGTTCCTTTAAAATTTGTCTAAAATGGGCCATAACATTGTTATTGTAATAGTCACCAGCATGGCTTGCAATAGCTGTGTTAGAGTGATTTTCATCCATAAAGGTTTGCAGTTCAACCCACTTTGCACACATTTCCTTAATTTTTGAAGTAGGCACAATGGAGTCCACAACTGGCATAGGCTTCTCAGGGTTAGCCCCAAACCCTTCAAAATCTTTCTTAATTTCCATACTAATTCTCACCCTTTTTACCACAGGGTTGGCACTAGAAGCTTTCTTGGGGCCCATGGTGACTTATTTTGCAGAAACAAGCACCAAAAACAGTGATAATATGAATAATATGGAATGTACCGAATGTATCCTTAGATGCGCGCACACTGGCTGGCTTGTAAACACTGGCACACATGGGGCAGTTCAGGCCACACGTGGACATGTCTCGTATGAATCGTATCGAATGTCAGGTTTTCCATCGAATGTCGAGGCGAAATTTTTGCGTTAAAATGCATCGAATGTCGGATTTATTGAATGTCAATGCCATCGAATGTCGGGGGTCCACTGTACATGTATGTGTATCAGATACCTAGGAAACTGTAGTTTTAGATACTTGTTGCTGTTAATTTTAAATCATATTTTTATTTATATCTCAGTATCTTTATATTAATATTAGGCCAGAACTGGAATCTTCATTAAACAAGTATCGTGTTGAGGCTGCATGGAAACTTGGCCAGTGGGAGCAACTTGAGACCTTCCTTAAGACTACTCCTAGTCAGTCATCTTGGGGAGAAGGTGTAGGACAGATACTTCTTGCAGTTCGAGCACGAGACTGCACAGCCTACCAAAATAGTCTACGTCGTTTGAGAATTCAGCAGATCACTTCACTTTCTGCAGCAAGTATGGAGAAATGGGCTTACCAGCGAGCTTACCCACACATTTTAAGGTGAGAATGAAAGCCAGTTTCATTTGTTGCCTAAAAGATAAAGAGATACATAAACTAAAATAGAGATTTCCTTTATATAGTAATGCTCTGCCAAAGGCATTTATGGTATACAGTAAATTAAAATAGTCAGGATAGGGCTGTAATATTTCAGAGGTTCACCTGAATTATCATGTCCAAGCACTAATGACAAGACAGCTGTTGAATTAGTGATGGTAAGTGTGCATCTGAGTAGGTAGTAGGCTGGTAGACAGCAACCACCCAGGGAGGTACTACTATCCTGCCAAGGAGTGTAAAACAGAAGCTTGTAATTGTTTTACATGATGGTAGGATTGCTGGTGTCTTTTTCTGTCTCATACACATGCAAGATTTCAGGTACGTCTTGCTACTTCTACTTACACTTAGGTCACACTACACATGCATGTACAAGCATATATATGTATATATACACATCCCTCTGGGTTTTCTTCTATTTTCTTTCTAGTTCTTGTTGTTGTTTATTTCCTCTTATCTCCATGGGGAAGTGGAACAGAATTCTTCCTCCGTAAGCCATGCGTGTTGTAAGAGGCGACTAAAATGCAGGAGCAAGGGGCTAGTAACCCCTTCTCCCGTATAAATTACTAAATTTAAAAAGAGAAACTTTCGTTTTTCTTTTTGGGCCACCCTGCCTTGGTGGGATACGGCCGGTTTGTTGAAAAAAAAAAAAAAAAAAAAAAAAAAAGTGTGCATCTGAGTAGGTAGTAGGCTGGTAGACAGCAACCACCCAGGGAGGTACTACAAATATCGTCAAGGTCGCTAACTTCACGATAGTGTAATTCCATCAGTTTTCCATCAAATTTCGTTCTTTTGGTGTCATTACAATCAGGTAAAGATTCTCTATCATTTCATAAGAAAAAAATAATTTTTTTTTTTTTTTTTGCAACACCAGGAGACACCTCAGGATTTGGGGTTGCAGCAGTCAAGGGGTTAATAAAATAATATGTGGCACATAATACCCCAAAAGTCATGTAGTGACCTCTAGAAAAAGCCAAGAGGTCAAACATTCAGGTTTTGACCTAGAGAAGTAAAACTTACATCATTAGAATCCTCTGCTGAGTTTAAATATTTATAGTTTAATAGGTTTGTAATGAATATTACCCAAATTATGATCTAAATATATGCTTATTGTCCTGTGACCTCAAAATGGTATAGGTCATATCTCCTGATCTATAGGTTAGACTGAGATGAGATCTACAGATGAGAGGCTGAAGCATAGAATAATAGTGAATACCAAATTTCAGGAGATTAGAGTTGGTGGCATGTAAGGCATTGGTTATTTTATCCTGGAAATCCCCATCTGGTATTCTATTTTAAATATGTTGAGTATAATATGTAACCTAACTAAAAAATTTCTTCTTTGTAGGATTTGGTCGTGACGTATTTGTTGAACGAGCAAAGTGGCACTGGGTGAAGGGAGAGCAGCACCAGGCTGTGACCACTCTTAATCGTGGTATTGATAAATTCTTCTCATCTTGTGAAACTTACAAATCATCTGTTAGTAACTGCACTCAGGTAAATTATGCATAGTATAATATCAGATTCAACTCTTAACCCTTTCAGGGTTTTGGCCGTACTAGTACGGCTTACGCACCACGGTTTTTGACATACTAGTACGCCTAAATTCTAGTGCCCTCAAATCTAATGAGACAAAGCTGGTAGGTATACATATGAAAGAATGGGTCTATGTGGTCAGCGTGCAATGGTTTCAAGTTGGAAAAATTCAGATTCAGGAAGGATATAGGAAAGCATTGGTTTGGTAATAGAGTTGTGGATGAGTGGAACAAACTCCCGAGTACAGTTATTCAGGCTAAAACATTGTGTAGTTTTAAAAATAGGTTAGATAAATACATGAGTGGGTGTGAGTTGGACCTGACTAGCTTGTGCTGCTGGGTCTGGTGCCATGCTCCTTCCTTGAGTGGAGGTGATCAGACTGGGTGGGTCATTGGGCTAATCCGGGGGGGGGGGGCATTGGGCTAATCCAAGGGGGGACATGGACCTGCTCTGCATGGGTCAGTAGGCCTGTTGCAGTGTTCCTTCTTTCTTATGTTCTTATGTCTGACTTGGACCATTAACCCTTAAACTGTCCAAACGTAGATCTACGTTTGCTTGCGTAGCGCTCCAAATGTAGATCTACGTTTTTTTTTACATTCTTTCTTATGGAGAAAATCAAGGGTGGAGCGCTACGCGCGCAAACGTAGATGTACATTTGGACAGATAGAGGGTTAACTAGCCACACACACTAACACACGAAGGCAAGAGAGCGAGTATATATATACAAGAGGAGGGCAGAGATGGGAGAAAGAAAGGTAGAAAAATAAAAGAAGGAAGTGGAGTTAGTAGAGCAGATAGAGGAAGTAATAGTAGTGGGAGAAGCCCTAGCTCCAAATGAACTTTAGTTTTCCATTAGTATTCCATTAACATAGAATTCCTATAGTATACTCTAAATTGTCTGAGTTTTACCAGTAAATATTCTGAAAATATTTTGATCTTGCTTATAATTTCTGCTTGTTGATACTCTGTTCATAAGCTCTCACAAGAGATTTTCAGTAGGAATCTTTCATCTGGCATGCATTTTTATTTACAGTATCCTAACTACATACATTTGTTCTATTGTCTGATAGGAACTAGATCTAGAATTGCTTGAGCACGATCAAAAGTTTATACGTACTTGGCATTTAAGGATTTCATTCTTAATAAAATTTGATTTTTTATTAGTTTTTCAAGATTCCTTCCTGGAGGAATTGACTGATTTTTGATAATCCTACAATATGGTCAAAACTCAACTCAGTGAAGACTTGTATAGGACATAAATGCCTTCATTATATCCAGGAATGGTTGGAGGGAGGGGGGTTAAAGAGGCTTTGAGTTTTAGGGACTTAAGCATCTAGCAGGCTTGTGTGAGCATGTTAGGAGTGAACAGACAGTGATGAAATCATAATATGTACTTTTTTTGTTGCTAGGAAGATCGGCAAGCGTGCGGACGTGCCAAACTGCTCCTAGCCAGGTATTCTGAGGAATCAGCCACACTGGAAGTCAACACAGTCAAGCAGTACTATCGGGATGCATGTGAAATTAATAAACAATGGGAGGACGGACATTTTCACTTAGCTATGTATTATGATCGTATATTGAGCTCCTTAGAGATGAAGGAGAAGCCAGTTGAATGGATTCACCATATTGTTCTCAGGTCAGTAAAAATGTTTCATTTGATAATGCCGTGAAGCTTTTATCATACCAGTTTTCTTAATGTCAATCCAACTATAATGCATGTCTATGCATCCCTTTCCCTGATGAATTTTGTTTTTAGAATATATTTTATTGTACAGAGAAAAGTTGTAGAGCTCATAGTATTTTAAGTACTGTATTTAGGTAATTATTAGAATGGAGGAATAGAAGCAAAGAAAGTTGAAAGCATCATGAATAAAACAAACAGACATCTGAATCTGCATGTAACTGTCTATCAGACTTGCAGACATTCATTTAATTTGTTCTTTTCTCCCATTCATTACTCTTCCTTCATTTAATTTTTCTGTATTTTTATCGAGGTATTCATTCATTATCTCTAAGTTACCTGTGTCCTTGAACAACTGAGCAATATTACTTGAAAATACAGTTGAGTCTTATTTCATAAATGTAGTAGTAGCCAAATTAGGATTTTTTGTCACTTCCCAATACATTTTTGCAACTTATGTTGAAAATGGTGTAAAATACTGACAAGTTGATGAGTAAGGCACATGTGCAACAGTTGGGTATCGTTTTATTGAAATGTTTTGCCTACACAGTAGGCTTCTTCAGTCAAATACAGACACAGCAATGCAACAGTATCTTGGTACAGAGGACAACTTTAACAACTTCATCACTTTACTAGTTATGAGTAAGAAGGGATGGTTTCCAGAGGGACCTGCTTAACATGGGCCAGTAGGCTTGCCGTAGTGCTACACAAGTCTTGCCTTCTTGCTTCTAGTGAATCCCGTTCCCGACAATGTCTTTGAGATACCCAACTGTTGCACATGTGTCTTTCTCATCATTGTCATGTGTTTCAGTTATAATTATGTTTAATAAACCATGGCTCTTTAGTATACATAATTCAACCAATGTTAGGTACAATAAATCTAACACAATGTTTTTCTCAGTTTTGGGAAATCTCTGCAGTATGGCTGCCGTCACATTTACCAGTCGATGCCAAGGATATTGAGCCTGTGGCTTGAATTTGGTACAAGAGTCAGTGAACTAGAGGCCAAGGAAGATAAGGTGAAAAGTGCCCGAAGAAACCCAGCTCTTGACAATTACCGGGAAAAGCTTGCCAATTTGAATGGAAGCGTTGGTAAGTATAGTCAAATTCATAATGTAGATTCCTACTGACATTTGAGTTATGGTTTTTATTGATTAGATTTTGATCATAGAAATATTGATTTTGAAATTTGGTATTTTCTTCATTAATTCTGGACCTACAGATATACATATGCAGTACTGATTCTTTTATGTAAAGTAATTAATATTCTTCAAAAATTTTACATAGTGAATGTCTTGCACAGCTGATAGTTAAGTCCCTGAATGCCACCGTATCCTGATAATAAATTGATTAGTTATATAATATCTGATTTTAAATTATAAACTGTTTTATTGAAAATGACAAAATATCCACTGTATACAAGTTTATACAAAAGTATATTTCTGTACCTATTGTAAAGATATTTTAATTTATGATAACTTTTTTCAACAGGGTCCCTGGTGGATCGTCTTCCACATTACATGTTTGTTACAGCTCTTCCTCAGCTGATTTCGCGTATTTGCCACTCTAACAGTGATGTATTTGTACAGTTATGCAAAATAATTGCTACCACATTGAGCAGCTTTCCACAACAATCTATGTGGCACATGATTGCTGTATCTAAGGTTTGTAAATTACTAATATTGTTATTTTTCATATACATGATGACTGTAAGTGATCAGAGGTGTTGGCTTCTCAATGATCATTATGTTGTCCACCACCTTGCAGGCTGGTATTACAAAGACTAATATAGACTGGCTTTTGTACCTAGCATACCTTCTTAAAATAGAGATTCCCTTTCCTAAAATGTACCTTCCCCTGAAAATCATGGCACTTATTTATTTCATAAGTCAAAAATGTAAAAAATCTAGTGTCCTACAAATTATGCATCATTAACCCTTTAAGTGTCCAGACCCCTGATCTGAAAATTGCTCTCAAAGTCCAAGAATTTTCAGAAAAAAAAAAAAATTCTTATAGATTACAAGAACAATCTTTTGTAGGTAATGAAACAAAAAAAAAATCCCATCAGTACTTATCAAGGTATAGAGGCATGAAGTTGATGCTTATTGAGCAGTTGATGGCAACATCCGCAACTGCCGCACGCTCCGTATTATTTCTTTTAGTTTTTTGATACATTTTCTCTTCTTTTCTAATATTTGATATTTTCCAGTAACTTTTGTGGCCTGCGAGACCAATATAATGCGTAATGTGTGTGTGTGTGTGTGTGTGTGTACTCACCTAGTTGTACTCACCTAGTTGAGGTTGCGGGGGTCGAGTCCGAGCTCCTGGCCCCGCCTCTTCACTGATCGCTACTAGGTCACTCTCCCTGAGCCGTGAGCTTTATCATACCTCTGCTTAAAGCTGTGTATGGATCCTGCCTCCACTACATCGCTTCCCAAACTATTCCACTTACTGACTACTCTGTGGCTGAAGAAATACTTCCTAACATCCCTCTGATTCATCTGTGTCTTCAACTTCCAACTGTGTCCCCTTGTTACTGTGTCCAATCTCTGGAACATCCTGTCTTTGTCCACCTTGTCAATTCCTCTCAGTATTCTGTATGTCGTTATCGTGTGTGTGTGTGTGTGTGTGTGTATGTACACACACACATACACATACATGACATGTGCCTAGGTAACTAACACATACATACATATACAATACCCACACTAATGTTGTTATCAGTATATTGGTTGTGGTTGTGCAAGTTGTGGTTGTGGTTGTGCAGATTGTGGTCATGGTTGTGCTTATGGTGTGGGGGTGGTTGAGGATGCCCTGGGCCGTGGACATGCTGAGTCAGTGAGGTGGCTCCCAGCTTGGGCTGTTGCTTCTGCTGCATTCTGCATGGCACCACCACCACCACCCACTGATGCATGCAGTCTATTATCCATGCCAATTGTAGCCAAATCATCAACACTTTCACTATCTGTTCCTGGTATAGGGACACGGGATGTACTCTGTCCCCCTTGTAATAGCATAGAGCACACTACCAGATTGCATACAGCGTCATATAAATCGAGGCTTCACTAGTGAATATTTTTCCTTGCTATCATTACTTGAATGGCCATCGATAGCAAGGAAATCAAAATCAACATTACTGTCTTCATCATTACTCACATCTGAGGCTTGGCCACGGGAAAATGTAAGCTACACTTACAGCATTGTAAAACTGAATGTGAACCAGACGGATCAACCCAGAGGTGGATGGTTGAGAGTCATTGGGGTTTTCGGCACTGCTTCCATTATCCTGAGCATTGCTTTTGGTCACTAACTTCTCAAAACCATAAAATTCATCTTCACTGCCTCCTTCGTCACTCTTTGATCTGTCACTTAAAAAGAGGAGATTCTCAGTTTGCCAGGGAGCAAGGTTTTTGCTACCATGATTCATGGTGAACATTGGGTACTGAGACGGCATTCCTATACTGCAATGCGGGTGCCCTGATTTTTTGCTTACTGTTCACACTGACCATGCAGACCCATTCTCTTAACCCTTTGAGGGTCGACAGTCCCTCTCCGAAACTCGTTCTCAGGGTCGGCCAAATTTAAAAAAAAAAAAAAAAAATTTCTCTTATGGAAAGATAGATAATCTTTTCCCGATCATAAGGACACCAAAAATTTGAAATTTGGTGGAAAACTTACGGAATTATGCTCTCGCGAAGTTAGCGGTCTCAGCGATGTTTGCGCATCAGCGATTTTGCCCACTTTGAGCCCCATTTTCGGCCAATTCCACTGTACTAGTTGACAAAAAACATGAATATTTCGCTAGAACTCCATTTTTTTCTTTCGAATGGGAGCAAGAAACCACCCATTTATTAAATTCAACTATCCAGTACAGTGGTCAGAATTTAGCAATTTTGCCAATTTCACACAAATTTCAAAAGATGCCAATTTCCAAATAGGGTCCAGAATAAACAAGAAAGACATTCCTGGCACTAAAATGACATTTCCTCTGGTCATTAGTCACGTCTCAAGGCCCCTCTTATATTCTTTTGCTTTCCACTTTGAATTTTTATTCTCACAAAAAATGTAAGATTTACTGTTATGCAGACTACTGCATTAGTGTAAAAAATGGTATAAATATTATTGGCACACTTGTGAAAGAATATTAGACTCACCAGTTGACGTGTATTGGACGCTTGGCACGATTTGTTTACTTTTGAACTTTGGTAAAAATCGAACATTTCTGCTACTTTGAGCTCAATTTCAAGGTACCTTTCATTGTAAAACCAGTCAAAATCATCTCAATTTCTGTAATATGTCTTCCATTCTATAAAATGAGACTAAGAAAACTAGAATACAACAATAAATACCATACGAAAATACAGTGCAAAGTCGCTGTTTTATTCCAAAAAAACGGTCAAAGTTTTTTTTTCTCATTATGCACTGTGTGCTGCAGGATTTTTTTTAGACTGTGCACACTGACCACATAGACCCATTCTTTCATATGAAGGCCTACCAGCTTTCTCCCACTAGATTTGAGGGCGCTAGAATTTAGGCGTACTAGTATGTCAAAAACCCTGGGCCGTAAGCCGTACTAGTACACGTCCGAAACCCTCAAAGGGTTAAATGTAGGCCTACTAGCCTTCTCGTGCTAACTTTGAACTTGCTAAAATTTTGGCATAATACTATGGCACATACGGCAAAGTAGTTAACATAATTGTAAGATGGTATGTTGCACACTTAAAAAATTATCTACAGAATATTTAACCCTTTCAGGGTTTCCGACGTACTAGTACGGCTTACGCACCTGGGTTATTGACGTACTAGTACACGTAAATTCTAGCGCCTTCAAATCTAGCGAGAGAAAGCTGGTAGGCCTACATATGAAAGAATGGGTCTATGTGGTCAATGTGCACAGTATAAAAAAAATCCTGCAGCACACAGTGCATAATGAGGAAAAAAAACTTTGACCATATTTTTGGTTTAAAACAGCGACTTTGCAGTGTATTTTTGTATGGTATTTATGGTTGTATTCTAGTTTTTCTGGTCTCATTTTATAAAATGGAAGACATATTACAGAAACTGAGATGATGTTGATTGGTTTCACAATGAAAAGTACCTTGAAATTGAGCTCAAAGTAGCAGATATGTTAGATTTTTGCCGAAGTTCAAAAGTAAACAAATCATGCCACGTGTCCAATACACGTCAACTGGTAAGTCTAATATTCTTTCACAAGTGCGCTGATATTATTTATACCATTTCTACACTAATGCAGCAGTCCTCATAACAATAAATCTTCTATTTTTTGCGAGAATAAAAATTCAAAGTGGAAAGCAAAAGAAATGTAAGAGGGGCCTGGGGACGTGACTAATGAACAGAGGAAATCTTATTTTAGTGCCAGGAATGTCTGTCTTATTTATTCTGGACCCTATTTTGAAATTGGCACATTTTGAAATTTGTGTGAAATTGGCAAAATTCCTAATTTCTGACCACTTTATTGGGTAGTTGAAATCGGTAAATGGGTGGTTTCTTGTACTCAGTCAATAGAAAAAACGGAATTCTAGCGAAATAGTTATGATTTTTGTCGACTAGTACACTGAAATTGGCCGAAAATAGGGCTCAAAGTGAGTGAAATCGCTGATGCGTAAACATCGCCGAGACCGCTAAGTTCGCAAGAGCATAATTCCCTAGGTTTTCCATCAAATTTCATACTTTTGGTGTCATTATGATCAGGAAAAGATTCTCTATCTTTTCATAAGATTTTTTTTTTTTTTTCCGAAAAATTTTCGACCCTGAGAACAAGTTTAGGAGAGGGTCTCTTGACCCTGAAAGGGTTAAAGAGCAAAGTACCTTCAGTGTTGTTGAAAAACATTCGGTGAAAAAGAAAGAATGAGGTAATGAAAGAGAGTGATTGGGTGTGGTGGTACATACAAGTTTCCAGTAATGCTACTGAGTGCATAATTTGTAATGAAAGATGCTATGCTGTTTTGAATATCGTCAAAACTTTTTTTTCCTTGCAATATTTTTTTTTTTGATATGAGTGTCACCCTATGAAAATATGAAATGGAGTAAAAGTTGCGCAGTTGAACGGTCTAATAGAAATCAATAAGAAAAAAGGTTGAGTGAAAGAAGTAACAGTTGATTGTGGGAGAGTCACTCACTCTCATGTGCGGTGGATGCTAGTTTGAGGGGTGGCACTGCGCAGCAGGGTGACCCAAAGATGGAAAAGACATTCACCATCACTCAGTTACTAGCTATGTATATTGAGAATAGTAAATGTGTGATTTTAAGGATAAGAATTAATCTGAATTAGCTTTTAAGAATAATACATTATGCCGCATCAAGGTAAAAATTAGAGAAAGATAAAAAGAGGTGGGAAAAGAGGTGATTTGACCACAATGTAAATAATTTTTTTTGCTGATTGTCAGGGTACACAAGAGAGGGGGATTATTCCAGAAAAGTATGCCTCGAATAGTGATGTCACCATGTTTTTTTTAACACTGGCCATCTTCCACTGAGGTAGGGTGACCCAAAAAAAGAAGAAGCGTTTTCACTATCACTTACTCTATTATTGTCATGCCAGGTGTACACCAAAATTACAGCTGAAATGCCCTCCAAATTGCAGTATCCCCACCCCTCTTTCAGAGTGCAGGCACCCTAATTTCCACCTCCAGGACTCAAGTCTGCCTAACCAGTTCCATGAATCTCTTCGTAAAATGTTACTTTGCTTGCATTCCAACAGCACATCAAGTCATAAAAACCACTTGCCTCCACTCACTCTTATCTAACACATTCGCACATGCCTGTTGGATGTCCAAGCCCCTTGCATACATCCATGATTATTTGACATATTTATAGATAGGGTTGTAGAAGAAGTGAATGATCACGTATTTAGGAGAGATGTGGGATTAAAAGATAATGAATTGGATAGAAAGTGGATTGACTGGGAGGGTGTATAGATCTGGAGTGGGAGAAAGAAGGGGTAGGGGTCATCCTGTGAAAAGTTGGAGGGAAGGGGTAAAGGTCATAATGGTAAGAGTTTGAACATCCAACAGGTTTATGTTAGTACAGTGGACCCCCGGTTAACGATATTTTTTCAATCCAGTAGTATGTTCAGGTGCCAGTACTGACTGAATTTGTTCCCATAAGGAATATTGTGAAGTAGATTAGTCCATTTCAGACCCCCAAACATACACGTACAAACGCACTTACATAAATACACTTACATAATTGGTCGCATTCAGAGGTGATCGTTATGCGGGGGTCCACTGTACTTTAGATCTGAGTGAGTGGAGATAAGTGATTTTTACAACTTGACATAATGTTGAAGTGTGAGCAATGTAACATTTATGAAGGGATTCATGGAAAACCAGTTTAACCAGACTTACATACTGGAGGTAAAAAGTACAATGCTTGGTCTCCAAAGGAGGAGCGAAGATGTTGCAGGTTGGAGGGCCATCTGAATTGTGATGCCAGCATGCTTCGGGTAAGACAACAATTGAGTTAATGATAGTGAATGCATTTCCTCTCTTTGGATCACTACCTGATGGGAGTTGGCTGGAGTATTACAAAAATAAATGTTAATATGAGAATTTGGGTTTGTGCATAGTCTGTCACTTCATTCAGCAATCTGCACCAACCATGTATGCAATGCATTCCATGGGTGTAAGGTTAAGGTTAAAATGACATTAATCATAAAATTCTTGTGTGTAAAATTTCTTAAGATAGTATGAAAGGGTACTGAACAAACTTTCATCAGGTCATCAGTATTACAGATACATATATATGCTAAATGATTCTGCTTCAAAATGTTTAATGACGAGATTCATATCTTTCTTTCAGTCTTCATATCAAATGCGTGTGAAGCGATGCATCGAGATCTTTGAGGCAGCAAAGAGGATGAAACCAGAACTTTCAAAATTTATCTCTGATGCTACTAAGTTAGCTGACAAATTTCTTGAGCTTTCCAATAAGCCTGTAGAGAAGGTTAGTATTTAGGTTAACTGAGATGTGCACTTTGCATTCATATACTGTCATATCCTAGAAGCTTATTAGGTTATTTAGTGGGTTCTACTGGCTGACATGTTTTTGTTACAAGATTCAATACTTCTCTTTGAAGGATTTAGCCAAAAACTAAACTGCTGTTGGATTGTTTCCCAGAAATCTTGTAAAGTTTTAGTTGAGACCGCAGATTTTAGAATGCCTTAAAGAGAATGAGTATTTATGTAGTGTTATTGTGCTTGTGACATACTCGCAGGGTGTTCACCAAGTGAGTCTCAACAGCTTACTTCGGGGACTTCCTCGGCTACTGTCTGACAGTTCTTTTTCCAATATTATATTGCCTCTGCAACATCAGATGTCTGTGACACTTCCTACATCATATGATAATATGTTCTCCCATAATCCATATCCAAGGTAAGGTCTTTATATATATTTAACATACTTTTAATAAATTTTAAAATAAACGCTTCAGCTTTTGCTTTACATGTTTTTTATTAATACATAATATGGTTTATTAGATACAACTAGTGGTTGTACAGCCTCAACTGTTTTATAAAATTAATTCTGAGTAACTTCTTGTGTATTTATGAATGTATTAGTTACACTATTATTGCTCATAATACTGTTTTAATTTTGCTTATTAGTTTTGAATTGCTACTCACATTGCATGTAAAGTTAACTCTTTAAGCTTTAAAATACACTGTGGTTATATTTGTTTAAATAAAAGTTATGAAAATTTTGATCAACAGCTCAATACATGTTGAATATTTTATACAGGGCAGCAGTGTATTTGTGTAGCATAGAAGATCATGTAGAAATCATGCAGTCTTTACAGCTTCCCAAAAAGATAACTCTGCGTGGCTCTGATGGCAAACTCTACATCATGATGTGTAAACCTAAGGTATGGATGCATAATCTACTGGTGAAGAGTTCTTAATCCAAGAAACTGGGACTATCTTTGCCCTCTTTAAATCAAACCTGATACCACCCATTCTCAAGGCACTGTATGATTTACAGGTTTAGCATTTTCCTTGGAAAATAATAATAATAATAATGTTGCCAGTGTATGGAATAGGTGGTAGGGTACTGAAAGCAGTTAAGAGTTTTTATGAGATTAGTGAGGCTCAGGAATGCTGATGTCACTATGGTTGTTTAACATATTTATAGATGGGGGTTGTAAAAGAACTGAATGTAGGGGTGTTGGGGAGAGGTGTGGGATTAAAGTAAATGTAGAATCTAACACAAAGTAGGAGTTGTCACAGTTGCTTTTGGGAGATTCTGAAGAGAAGTTGCAGAGGCTGGTGGACAAATTTGGGAGGGTGGGTGCAGGAGGAAAGAGGAGTGATTAGTGGAATGATGAGGTTAATGGTGTGATAAGGGAGAAAAATTTTGCTGATGATAGGTTTTTACAAAACTGAAGTGATATAAAAAGGGTGGAGTATGTGGAAAGCAAAAGAGAGGTGAAGAGAGTGGTGAGGGAGTGCAAAAGAAGAGCAAATGATAGAATGGGTGAGGTGGGAAGATGGCAGGAATATTTTGAGGAACTGTTAAATGTTGAAGAGAGGGAGGCAGTAATTTTATGCACTCGTCAGGGAGGTATAACATCTTTTAGGAGTGAAGAAGAGCCAGATGTGAGTGTGGGGAGGTGTGTGAGGCATTAGGTAGAATGAAAAGGAATAAAGCAGCTGGAACTGATGGGATCATGACAGAAATGTTAAAAGCAGGGGGATGGGGGAATGTAGTGTTGGAGTGGTTGGTATTTTTGTTCAATAAATGTACGAAAGAGAGGAAGGTACCTAGGGACTAGCAGAGAGCATGCATAGTTCCTTTATATAAAGGAAAAGAGGGACAAGAGAGTGTAAAAATTATGGGGGAACAACCCTACTGAGTATACCAGGTAAAGTGTATGGTAGGGTTATTATTGAAAGAATTAGAGGTAAGAGGGAGAGCAGAATCTCAGATGGACAAGGAGGCTTTAGAATGGGTTAGGGATGTGTAGACCAAGTGTTTACATTGAAGCATATAAGTGAAAAAAATTTAGGTAAATATAGGGAAGTTTTTGTTTTTATGGATTTAGAAAAGGCATTTGATAGGGTGGATAGTGGAGCAATGTAGCCAATGTTGCAAGTGTATGGAATAGGTAGTACCTTACTAAATTCTGTAAAGAGTTTTTGAGGATAGTGTGGCTCAGGGAGAGGGAGATTACTTTCCAGTGAAAGTAGGCCTTACCTAGAGTATACCTGGAGAGGGTTACAGGGGTCAACGCCCCTGCGGCTCGGTCTGAGACCAGGCCTTAGACAGGCATGCGTAATGTCATCATGGTCATTTAACATATTTATAGATGGGGCTGTAAAAGAAGTTAATGTTCATTTGCTTGGAATTGCTAAACACCACAGATGATGTTGTTGAAGATTTGGCAGTAAAGATAGAAAACCAAAACCTTGTCATTGTGGTTGTATACAAGCCCCCAGATGCAACTTCCCAACAATTCAAGGAACAGCTCTTAAAAACTGTGGATATCTTACAGGGTATTTTTTTCTTTCTGTTGTTAAAGTACTTCTCTATCTCTATCTCTATCATATCTTTTTTTTTAACCCAGCTTGCTTCTCTTAATTTGCCAAGTATCCTTCTGTGTATCATCATATCAAAAGCCTTCTTGCTGTCTAGGAATGTGCATTTCACCCATATTTCTCATACCTATTCGACATCTGTTAATTTGTCATGTATGTAGGATTAGTAATGCTCAACATTACAAACATAAATCCATTTTTTGGTTTTGTAAAAAATCTAGAAATTTTTTCTGCAATTTACATGTTACACTTGTTGAAGGCACTAGTCTGTATCATTCCTTGTGATTTCCCTGTTGCTTTTTTGTTAGATTTTTTCTTCATGGATTACAGTAGCCTACATCCCTAACCTGGGCTTCACTCTCCACATAAAATTATTTTACTGCTTATAGTAACTTACCACTTATTCCATACATTTGCAACTTATGCTGTATTGTTTCCCTATTCACCCTATTGTATGGCTTATCTAAATCAGTGAATGCAACAGAGTTCCTTACCCTTATACAACTATTGTCTGCTTAAATGCTTCAGTGCAAACATTTGGTCTACACATTACATGTGCCCTACCCCTTGTAGACCCTCCTTGTTCCTCTGCAATCCTAGTTTCTGTCTTTCCCCAATCTCTGTTTATTAATAATGATTCTACCATCTCTTTACTCAGTATACTCAACAGGCTTACACTCCTATAATTCTTACTCTCTCTTGTCCACACTTTTCTTATACATAGGAACTATGCATACTGTCTACCAGTCCCTAGGTGCCTTCCTTTTTGTAGTCCATATATTCAGCAGAATGACTTCAAGAGTGTATCAGTCTGTAGTGGAAGGAAGGCGGGGTAGGGGTCAGCCTAGGAAAGGTTGGAGGGAGGGGGTAAAGGAGGTTTTGTGTGCGAGGGGCTTGGACTTCCAGCAGGCGTGCGTGAGCGTGTTTGATAGGAGTGAATGGAGACGAATGGTTTTTAATACTTGACGTGCTGTTGGAGTGTGAGCAAAGTAACATTTATGAAGGGGTTCAGGGAAACCGGCAGGCCGGACTTGAGTCCTGGAGATGGGAAGTACAGTGCCTGCACTCTGAAGGAGGGGTGTTAATGTTGCAGTTTAAAAACTGTAGTGTAAAGCACCCTTCTGGCAAGACAGTGATGGAGTGAATGATGGTGAAAGTTTTTCTTTTTCGGGCCACCCTGCCTTGATGGGAATCAGCCAGTGTGATAATAAAAAAAAAAAATAATACTCAGCAAATTCACAAGCCACTCCAGAATTATATCCCCACCTGTATTTAATATGAAAAGAAGTTGGATGTCCTGGCCCTAAGCGAAACAAAGCTGAACGGGGTAGGAGAGTTTCAGTGGGGGGAAATAAATGGGATTAAATCTGGAGTATCTGAGAGAGTTAGAGCAAAGGAAGGGGTATCAGTAATGTTAAATGATCAGTTATGGAAGGAGAAAAGAGAATATGAATGTGTAAATTCAAGAATTATGTGGATTAAAGTAAAGGTTGGATGCGAGAAGTGGGTCATAATAAGCGTGTATGCACCTGGAGAAGAGAGGAATGCAGAGGAGAGAGAGAGATTTTGGGAGATGTTAAGTGAATGTATAGGAGCCTTTGAACCAAGTGAGAGAGTAATTGTGGTAGGGGACCTGAATGCTAAAGTAGGAGAAACTTTTAGAGAGGTGTGGTAGGTAAGTTTGGGGTGCCAGGTGTAAATGATAATGGGAGCCCTTTGATTGAACTTTGTATAGAAAGGGGTTTAGTTATAGGTAATACATATTTTAAGAAAAAGAGGATAAATAAGTATACAAGATATGATGTAGGGCGAAATGACAGTAGTTTGTTGGATTATGTATTGGTAGATAAAAGACTGTTGAGTAGACTTCAGGATGTACATGTTTATAGAGGGGCCACAGATATATCAGATCACTTTCTAGTTGTAGCTACACTGAGAGTAAAAGGTAGATGGGATACAAGGAGAATAGAAGCATCAGGGAAGAGAGAGGTGAAGGTTTATAAACTAAAAGAGGAGGCAGTTAGGGTAAGATATAAACAGCTATTGGAGGATAGATGGGCTAATGAGAGCATAGGCAATGGGGTCGAAGAGGTATGGGGTAGGTTTAAAAATGTAGTGTAGAGTGTTCAGCAGAAGTTTGTGGTTACAGGAAAGTGGGTGCAGGAGGGAAGAGGAGCGATTGGTGGAATGATGATGTAAAGAGAGTAGTAAGGGAGAAAAAGTTAGCATATGAGAAGTTTTTACAAAGTAAAAGTGATGCAAGGAGGGAAGAGTATATGGAGAAAAAGAGAGGTTAAGAGAGTGGTGAAGCAATGTAAAAAGAGAGCAAATGAGAGAGTGGGTGAGATGTTATCAACAAATTTTGTTGAAAATAAGAAAAAGTTTTGGAGTGAGATTAACAAGTTAGAAAGACTAGAGAACAAATGGATTTGTCAGTTAAAAATAGGAGAGGAGAGTTATTAAATGGAGAGTTAGAGGTATTGGGAAGATGGAGGGAATATTTTGAGGAATTGTTAAATGTTGATGAAGATAGGGAAGCTGTGATTTCGTGTATAGGGCAAGGAGGAATAACATCTTGTAGGAGTGAGGAAGAACCGTTGTGAGTGTGGGGGAAGTTCGTGAGGCAGTAGGTAAAATGAAAGGGGGTAAGGCAGCCGGGATTGATGGGATAAAGATAGAAATGTTAAAAGTAGGTGGGGATATAGTTTTGGAGTGGTTGGTGCAATTATTTAATAAATGTATGGAAGAGGGTAAGGTAACTAGGGATTGGCAGAGAGCATGCATAGTTCCTTTGTATAAAGGCAAAGGGGATAAAAGAGAGTGCAAAAATTATAGGGGGATAAGTCTGTTGAGTATACCTGGTAAAGTGTATGGTAGAGTTATAATTTAAACAATTAAGAGTAAGACGGAGAATAGGATAGCAGATGAACAAGGAGGCTTTAGGAAAGGTAGGGGGTGTGTGGACCAGGTGTTTACAGTGAAACATATAAGTGAACAGTATTTAGATAAGGCTAAAGAGGTCTTTGTGGCATTTATGGATTTGGAAAAGGCGTATGACAGGGTGGATAGGGGGGCAATGTGGCAGATGTTGCAAGTGTATGGTGTAGGAGGTAGGTTACTGAAAGCAGTGAAGAGTTTTTACGAGGATAGTGAGGCTCAAGTTAGAGTATGTAGGAAAGAGGGAAATTTTTTCCCAGTAAAAGTAAGCCTTAGACAAGGATGTGTGATGTCACCATGGTTGTTTAATATATTGATAGATGGGGTTGTAAGAGAAGTAAATGCGAGGGTCTTGGCAAGAGGTGTGGAGTTAAAAGATAAAGAATCACACACAAAGTGGGAGTTGTCACAGCTGCTCTTTGCTGATGACACTGTGCTCTTGGGAGATTCTGAAGAGAAGTTGCAGAGATTGGTGGATGAATTTGGTAGGGTGTGCAAAAGAAGAAAATTAAAGGTGAATACAGGAAAGAGTAAGGTTATGAGGATAAAAAGATTAGGTGATGAAAGATTGAATATCAGATTGGAAGGAGAGAGTATGGAGGAGGTGAACGTATTCAGATATTTGGGAGTGGACGTGTCAGCGGATGGGTCTATGAAAGATGAGGTGAATCATAGAATTGATGAGGGAAAAAGAGTGAGTGGTGCACTTAGGAGTCTGTGGAGACAAAGAACTTTGTCCTTGGAGGCAAAGAGGGGAATGTATGAGAGTATAGTTTTACCAACGCTCTTATATGGGTGTGAAGCGTGGGTGATGAATGTTGCAGCGAGGAGAAGGCTGGAGGCAGTGGAGATGTCATGTCTGAGGGCAATGTGTGGTGTGAATATAATGCAGAGAATTCGTAGTTTGGAAGTTAGGAGGAGGTGCGGGATTACCAAAACTGTTGTCCAGAGGGCTGAGGAAGGGTTGTTGAGGTGGTTCGGACATGTAGAGAGAATGGAGCGAAGCAGAATGACTTCAAGAGTGTATCAGTCTGTAGTGGAAGGAAGGCAGGGTAGGGGTCGGCCTAGGAAAGGTTGGAGGGAGGGGGTAAAGGAGGTTTTGTGTGCGAGAGGCTTGGACTTCCAGCAGGCATGCGTGAGCATGTTTGATAGGAGTGAATGGAGACAAATGGTTTTTAATACTTGACGTGCTGTTGGAGTGTGAGCAAAGTAACATTTATGAAGGGATTCAGGGAAACCGGCAGGCCGGACTTGAGTCCTGGAGATGGGAAGTACAGTGCCTGCACTCTGAAGGAGGGGTGTTAATGTTGCAGTTTAAAAACTGTAGTGTAAAGCACCCTTCTGGCAAGACAGTGATGGAGTGAATGATGGTGAAAGTTTTTCTTTTTCGGGCCACCCTGCCTTGGTGGGAATCGGCCAGTGTGATAATAAAAAAATAAATAAAAATATATTTAGTATCTCAAATCTTAATCCCATATGTCCCACCTGCTCTACCCTGTTTCATTCTACCCTCTGCCTCATTCACTGGCTCATATTACTTCTACCTGAAGTTGTTCCTCACTGCGTAGTGCATGATATCACTTGCTCAATTTCATCATCAACATTAAATAACTCCTCAGATATTTTTTTTTTTTTATGCATAACAAAATATGGCTTATTATTTGCTTCATATTCATCAGCTGTATGTTTTTCCTGGATGTAATGCATTAATGTATTTTTCAGGATGATCTACGCAAAGACTGCCGATTGATGGAATTCAATAATTTTGCCAATCGATGTCTTTTGCTAGACCCTGAGTCAAGAAAACGGGATCTCCATATCAGAACCTATGTAAGTAGTGTTAATATAACTAATAATGTAAGGAGTAATAAAACACTTGTACTTAATTTTATACTGATTGGCTTAATTTGTTGATAGAATCAATGCTGTGAAAAATTTGATGTTTTATTTGCTGGCTGGTATTTTTTATTATTAAAGTCTGAGCTCTTCTTTATTGTATAATTTCATAAACTCTACTGTATGTGTTCATAAACTCTTCTTTATTGTATATTTTCATAAACTCTCACTTAAAATATCACAAGTGTTATTTTAACTTGTAATTCATACCAGGGAAGGTATAACAAAAGACAGGGAGATGGTATAATGGGGGACAGGGAGACGATATAATGGAGGACAGGGAGGAAAGTATAATGGAGGACAGGGAAGAAAGTATAACAGAGGACAGAGAAGTATAATGAAGGAGAGAGGAAGGTATAATATAGGACAGGAAGGAAGGTATAATGGAAGACAGGGAATTAATTATAATGGAGGACTGGGATTATTTCCACGATCATAACAATAACACACCATTCTCGATTTAATGACCTTAGTCCATTAAATATGAAAATCGGTTTGCTCAGCATATATCAACTATAATAGTTCTGGTTAAATCTAGGATTGTCTGCAATAATAATAATGGACAATTCTGATTTAACAGATTTCTTCAAAATCAATTTACCTAGCAGGCTATAACAATAATGGACAAGTTTGGATTTAACAGACTTTGTATTCTCTGGGTCCTGTCTGGATACAGATTTTTGTCTGTAAATTAAAAATCCTTTAAATCGGGGTCCAGTAAATCAAGGTGATAATGCATTTGCAAATTTACTGACTTCAGAAGTATAGTAACAAGTTTACACAGTCATGAATTCAGTCACTAAAACATTACAATGTGTGGCTATGAGTTATTTACAATGCCCAGTAACTAGCAAGATTATTATTATTATTAAAATAAAAAAGAAGCGCTAAGCCACAAGGGCTATACAGCAACTAGCAAGATATGATTGAATTTAGACAAGTTACACTGGTTATGAGTTATTCGAAATAGGCAACATAAAGGTATTTCCCCAGAATGGGCTGGTAAAATGGCATTGTATAAAATTCTGACACATTTCTTGAACATTGATGAGTGAGTTGTCTCTGAATTCATAAATTTTATTACATTCCAGCTTATAATGATGCAGAATGTGATGATAGTTTCTTTGCCAGTGTTTTTTTTTTATTATATCTACATCAAATGTTGATGCACACTCCCAGAAGTACTTGTAGCCCAGTCAAAGCCAGGCAGTAATGACATCCAAGAATCTGCAAATTTTATTGAATGCACCATTTTATTGCATGCTAGTATGATGATAGATGGACTGACAGATGTCGGTCTCCTTCGTTGAAGCTCAGTTGAAGTTTATTCCTAGTACTGGCCTCAAACTGCTAGTCAACAGCCTGAAGTTGTGATCTACTCCCTCATTGAAGATGCATGCGTTTGTTAATTCATCAGTTTTATCGTGCATTTGAAGGCTAATATGAGAAGGAATCCACAAAAGGTGTACTCTGAATTCACTGTCTACAATCCTGTCATACCTGTGTCTGACTTCTGACATGAGCATGACTCAATTGACACACACAGTTAAGAGCATTTATAGATGATTGGGAATCGCTTACAAAGTGTCAATTTTAAGTACATGGACACATTTGGATGCAAGAGATATAACAAACAATTCAGTTTGAAGAGTGGAAGTTCAGTTATTGATGCATTCTTCAACTTCCACATTGGAGCCATCAGTGTGGAAGCTGTATGACAACAATGGCACTACCAACTGTGTAAGTGATGAACAGAACCATCAATATACATAATTTGTAGAAGCCAATACTGCATGGCCAAGGCATCAGTACAGTTTAAGGCATCATGCTTAGCTTCGAAACAAAACTTGATGAAGAGTTCTCCTTATTTCTACAGCTCATTCCCACCTTGCTGGAAATCACAGAAAAGACACACCTCCCTTATTTTTACAGCCCTGTATGACACTAGAATCAAAACAGGATATGAAAGAACATTTTATTATAATTTGCAAAGCTTACCATAGCCACACTACAGTACCTCTTAAGTTCTAAAGCTCATAATTGTATGCAATTAACACTCATAGGCTTCTCTAGTGCAGAGTTCCACCATCTCACTTTTCTCATCATCCAATAGAGTTCAAAAGTGTCATTGAGTGCTAAAAGTGTAGGTTACCAGCACTTTTTCTTCCATTGATGGGTGTTACTGGCTGCCTTCAGTAATTAATGTTTCTCTATTCTTAATATAATGCTGTAATATGATTTTTGTTGTGTCACTATGAATACTTTATTAGAATTATTGTAGATGAATGGTTCAGAGAACTGACATGTTGTTGAATTAGACACATGTGCAACTCTTGGGTATCTTGGGAATTCTTCACTTGCCTAACCCTTGGGCACGACCTACTTCCACATTGAACAAATGTGACACCACCTACAACTGCTGCCCCTCTCCTGTCTACGGTTTATAAGCTGCTTCTCCGCTCATATGCCGTATTCTATTCAAGATTGATGGACTGACCACATCGACTCAAGGCTGAGGGACTGATTACCTCATTCTCCTCCTGTTCTTCAAGTTTCTCCTTTGTATGGACTGATGAAGCCACTGTGTGGCGAAACGTTTCCTCAATAAAGATACCCAAGAGTTGCACATGTGTCTAATTCAACAACATTAGAATTATTGTTAAAACCCCTTCTCCTATATACATTACTAAATTTAAAAAGTTTCATTTTTCTTTTTAGGTCACCTTGCCTCAGTGGGATGTGGCCGTTTTGTTGAAAAAAAAAAATTGTCAACTTTCATAGATCTAAATAGTCTAGTAAAAAATACATAACTCTCAGAAGAAATTCTTATTTTTCTTAATTTTTATAACAAATGTAACTACTTTTATATTTACATGTGTCATTTGGAGAATCTAACATACTTTGCTAGCATAAAAGTATAATGTATTCTTTCTAGGCTGTTGTACCATTAAATGAAGAATGTGGCTTAATTGAGTGGATACAGAACCTGCATGGTTTGCGGCAGATTCTTCATACACTGTACAGAGATTCTGGCATTTTTATGTCAGCCCAGGAATTAAAACAAAGTATGTGTAAGCTAGACACACTCCTGGCTACTAAGAGAGATGTCTTCTTGAACAAGCTGGTCCCACGGCACCCTCCAGTCTTTGCCACTTGGTTCCTCCGAACCTTCCCAGACCCTCAAGCATGGTGAGATATTTAAGTCCAGCCTTCTCTACTTGTTTCTATATTTGTAGAATTTCTAGCTAGTGCTGACTCACCCTATGAGAAAAAGAAATGGGCTTGAGATGATGGTGGTAGCAGTGATGTTATTACTCGTTGTAATTAAATTATAGAATCACTGTACAGTGGTACCTCAGGATACAAATTTTTTTCATTCCAGAAGGCTGTTCCAGTGCCAATACCGAACAAATTTGCTCCCATAAGGAATAATGTAAATCAGATTAATCCGTTTCAGACCCCCAAAAATACACTTACAAAAGCACTTACATAAATACGCTTACATAATTGTTCGAGTTTTGAGCTGTTCGTATCCCAAGGTACCACTGTACTTTATGAATAGCAGTAATGAGTGGATATGTGTTTTTTTTTTTATATTTGACATGTTGCTGAAGTATTAAGTCAGTAATATGTATAAAGGAATTTGAGGTTAAATCAGTTAGCCATATTTGAGTTTTGGAGGTGGAAAGTAGTTTGTGCACTCTCAAATTAACAAATTTTTTTTCTTCATTTATTTCTGTATAGTTTGTTTTCTTACTTTAACATACATATTATTATTATAATCAAAACCAAGTGCTAAACCCACTAAGGTCACACAGCTTTAACATACACAGTAGTGCAAGATTGGGATGAATCTTACCAAAAAGGACTATATGAAGTGAAACAGAGTGAGAATGAAGGAAAGAGGTGATATAAAGATTTAGCCAAGTAACCAATGAGACCAAGAATTTACACTGAATAATCCAGCTAGCAGGCAGGTACAGCTGCATGAAATAAAAGTATTTTACACAAAAGTATTTTACACAGAAAGGGCAAATTATCAACATATGCATTATTAGAGGATTCAAATATTATTGCTCTGGGTAAATCCTGATTTAATCTGAACAGTTCTACTAACCCATTCTCCTTTATAGTATGAGCCCTACAGGTTTAGTGCTTCCCATGATTATAATTACAATTTGAGAAATTAAAGGTGTTTAGGGAATTTTGAGCAAAGCAAGAATAGCTTTATTGGACCTGAATAGGAGTTCGAGCACCCACTGAGCACGTGACCATTTGAGATCGGAGGGCATGGTTGACAAGATTTGTCATGCTGTTGCAGTGTAAACAGGGGCAGCTGCAGACTTTTTTGTATTTAGGGGTGTTAGACTTAAGGATGGCTGTATTGATGAACAAGCGCATGTGCAAAGTTGGGTATCTTTATTGTTGAAACGTTTCACCTGAACAATAGGCTTCTTCAGTCAGATACGGAGGAGAATAAATTGGTTATCTTGTTAGAAAGGGATGAGAGGGAACCCACATTTTACAGAGGAAATTCACCATTTTTATTTAAAAGTGTATATTACAAATCAATATATATAGAAATATTTTCTAAAGATCTTTGTATCCTTATATAAGAGTGAGAAAACAAATGTGCCTATCAAATAAGAATAATAATTACATGAAATTACATCAGTATAGAATAAAGAATAAAAAGGCACAATACTGTGACTGGAACAATGCACCAATAACCTACACATAGAAGAACGAAACTTTTGACTGGCTCTCTTCCCTTCACACTTGTGTGACTAGTTTATGGTCCAAGCCAGATAACGTCATCATAAGTTTCATTCTCCTTTTTTTTTTTTTTTTTTTTTTTTTTCAAACAAGTCGGTCGTCTCCCACCGAGGCAGGGTGACCCCAAAAAGAAAGAAAATCCCCAAAAAGAAAATACTTTCATCATCATTCAACACTTTCACCACACTCACACATTATCACTGCTTTTGCAGAGGTGCCCAGAATACAACAGTTTAGAAGCATATACGTATAAAGATACACAACATATCCCTCCAAACTGCCAATATCCCAAACCACTCCTTTAAAGTGCAGGCATTGTACTTCATTGTACTTTCATTCTCCTATGTGTGGGTTATTTGTGTATTACATCAATATTATTATCATCATTATTATTATAATCATGGGGAGCGCTAAACCCGTAGGATTATACAGCGCATGTGGGGGGGATGGAAGGTATTCAGGCTCAATTCAGGGAACTGAAGCACAGATCCAATTTCCTAGATCAAGAGCCCCTCACCAATGTCAAGGAACCTCCCTGAGGGGATTACATCAATATACATATATTCAGTGGTACCCCGAGTTTCAGCCATAATTCGTTCCAGAAGGCTGTTCAAGTGCCATTACCAAACAAATTTGTTCCCATAAGGAATAATGTAAATTAGATTAGTCCATTTTAGACCCCCAAAAATACACTTACAAAAGCACTTACAATGATACACTTGAAGATTGTCGTTTTTTCTTAAACCATTTATCACACTTACATAATTGTTCGAGTTGAGAGGTGGCCGAAACACGGAGTACCACAGTATACATATATGCCATCAAAGTAACAATATTCAACCTGGCCTTATTATTGTCATATGTAGCTAGTACAAAACAGATTCATTCTACTCTCAAATGAGAGATTAAGGATAACTGAAAAAATGATTGCAGTGTGATTATTTTTGTCGTTATGGTTGGAAGGAAACATACTAATGATACCTTCTGGCTATTTGTTTTTTGTACCCATAGGTTATCTCCATGGCGAAGTGGAACAGAATTCTTCCTCCGTAAGCCATGTGTGTCATAAGAGGCGACTAAAATGCCAGGAGCAAGGGGCTAGTAACCCCTTCTCCTGTATATATTATTAAATGTAAAAGAAGAAACTTTCATTTTTTCTTTTGGGCCACCCCTCTCAGTGGGATACAGCCAGTGCATTGAAAGGAAAAGGTATAACTGCCACTTGTTCTGCTATCATTAGTATTGTTCCTCAAGTAAGTTTTCGTCAGTCACAAGCAGGACAAACTACGTTCAGATTTCTTTTTGTTTTCAACGAACCGGCCGTATCCCACCGAGGCAGGGTGACCTAAAAAGAAAAACAAAATACACACACTTTAAATTAGGGGTTACTAGCCCCTTGTTCCTGGCATTTTAGTTGCCTCTTACGACACACATGGCTTACGAAGGAAGAATTCTGTTCCACTTCCTCATGGGGACATTCAGAATTAACCCTTTCAGGGTCGAGACCCCCAATCCTGAACACACTCTTGGGGTCGAAAAATTTAAAAAAAAAAAAAATTCTTATGAAATGATAGAGAATCTTTTCCCGATGGTAATGACACCAAAAGTATGAAATTTTATGGAAAAACTTAGGGAATTATGCTCTTGCGAAGTTAGCGATCTCGACAATATTTACGCATTGGCGATTTCACCCACTTTGAGCCCTATTTTCAGCTAATTTCAATGTTCCAGTCGACTAAAATCAGTTATTTCGTTAGAACTCCATTTGTTTTATTGAACGAGTACAAGAAACCGCCCATTTACTAATTTCAACTATCCATGAAGTGGTCAAAAATTGGCAATTTGGCCAATTTCACACAAATTTCAAAAGATGCCAATTTCAAAATAGGGTCCAGAATAAACAAGACAGATATTCCTGGCACTAAAATACCATTTTCTCTGTTCATTAGTCACGTCTCCAGGCCACTCTTATATTACTCTTGCTTTCCATTTTGAATTTTTATTCTCACAAAAAACAGAAGATTTACTGTTATGCAGACTACTGTATTATTGTAAAAATGGTATAAATAATATCAGCGCACTTGTGAAAGACTATTAGACTCATCAGTTGACGTTTATTGGATGCATGGCGTGATTTGTTTACTCTTGAACATCAGCAAAAATCAAACATTTCCACTACTCTGAGCTCAATTTCAAGGTACATGTACTTTTCTTTGTGAAACCAATCAAAATCATCTCTATTTCTGTAATATATCTTCCATTCTATCAAAAGAGACCAAGAAAACGAGAATACAACCATAAATACCATACCAAAATACACTTTAAGGTAGCTGTTTTAAACCAAAAACATGGTCGTGTTTTTTTTCTCATTATACACTGCGTGTTGCAGGATTTTTTTTATACTGCGCACACTGACCACACAGACCCTTTCTTTCATATGTAGGCCTACCAGCTTTCTTCCACTCTATTTGAACACGCTAGAATTTACACATACAAGTATGGCACCGACCCTGAAAGGGTTAACTGGCTTAATTTGAATACCATTTTTTCATCAGTGTGTGCTTTGGGGGGCCAAATAAAATTATGAGGTGGCTGAAGAAAATTGTCGAGGGCCCTTCCTTAGTATTGCCACAGTGTGAATAAGGTCTAATAGTGGAATGTAATGTGACCAGCTAGAGACTTAATTTATGGAGTTAGGAAGTAGAGTAAGTGCACTTTAAAAGTGAAGTGGGAACATGATAACATCAGTATTGAATGTTGGGAAGTCTTCCATTTTGGAATGTGAACCTGTGAGTAAGAGTTGGTGAATGTATTTCATTTTGGTGGGAAGAGTAGAAATATACATGACCAGCAATTTATAGTAGTAGTGATAATAAAATGTTCTGGATCCTATTATTTGGCCATGACAAGATTAGAAATACCATTAGTAGTATTATATGTACAGAAATTGAGCTGAGAGGGTGCATTCAAACTATACAGAATAAACATTATTATAGTATGACTAATTATGTGTTTCTGTAACCTTGTGACTATCACCCTCTTACTACCACCTAATCTGGTGTATTGAAAGTATATTTAGCAGTGATTATCAGTGATGAACTACTGTAGTAGAATAAGGGAATATTTTTGGGTTGAGGGGAAGAGTATACATTCTGTTATGGTAAAGCTATGAAATTGTCATAGTTTTTTTTTGGCTTACCCTTCTCCAAATGCAAGGTATTTTTATGATGTGAACATGTTCATGGAATTATTATAGTGATAAATTGCCCACAAGGGTTTAGGTCTTTTGTGACTTGCATAATTTTTTCATAAAAGCTGTTTCTTAATTTCAGGTTAAGAGCAAGACTTGGCTATTGTCGCACCACAGCTGTCATGTCCATGGTGGGCTACATCCTTGGTCTGGGAGATAGACATGGGGAAAATATTCTTTTTGATGCCTCCTGTGGTGACACCGTTCACGTAGATTTCAACTGTCTCTTCAATAAGGTTAACAAGCGTTTTGTGGTTCACCACAGCATAACATATATAAACATATTTACACAGACTTTGCAGAGGCATTTGACATATGTGATCATGGAGTGATAGCACACAAAATGAGGGCCATAGGCATTATGGGGAAGGTAGGCAGATAGATTTTTGGGTTCCTAACACAACACAAAAAGTAGTAAACAGTAAAATCCAGCATTGGCGTGGTACAGAAGCTCAGTTTCCCAAGGCACTGTCCTAGCATCACTACTGTTTCTCATCCTCATAGCATTCATAGATAAAAACATCCATCAGTTTTGTATCATCATTTACAGATGACACTAAAATAAGCATGAAAGTCACTACGGTAGAAGACACTGAAAAATTACAGGAAGATATAAGCAGTGTTTTCCAATAGGCAGTGGAGAACAACATGATGTTCAGTGGTGATAAGTTCCAACTCAGAGGTATACACCCATGTATATTACAGTAGTTCCAAACACAAATAAGTATTGCATTTGCTGGCACTAACAATTTTTTTTTTTTTAAATTCCCTAAAATATCACAGAAAGTAAACAAAGACCACCAGTCTGATAGACACTACAACTTTGTGCTTGACTGGCAGAAACTGAAAAGTTGAATGTTTAACCTTTTGGACATACGTTGATACTGTATTTTATGGTCTTTTTTTGGGGGGAAGGGGGGGAAGGAAAGGGGGTTCCATTTGTGCTGCATATATGTTAATTACAATAGTTAATTACACATATTCTAATATCCTCGAATATATGTGACCAACACAGGCTTGTCTTGTATACATCATATTTACCATACTTCTCGTATAATACGTACACTGATAACTTTGTCCTCTTTTTAATTCTTCCACTTGTGAATTTAAAGTATAGTATTATTACAGAACCATAGACTGTATAATGAGTGACTTAGCTTTGATTATTGGAGAGATCACCAGAGTAAAAGCAGTTTTAACCTTACTTTAATCAATTTAATATTTTCAGGGTGAAAGCTTTGACTGGCCTGAACGTGTACCATTCCGCCTGACGCATAATATGGTAAATGCGATGGGACCTACAGGTCATGAGGGCATCTATAGAAAGACTTGTGAGGTGAGACCTATCTTTGTCACTGTCCATAAGTCATGTCTCACATTTTGAAACAATTTTTTAAATCACATCAGGTCTCCAATAATCCATCCCTCATACATTTGATGATAGTACAAAAACTGCAAAATTTTATGGAAATTAAATATTTACTTTGTGTCTCGTAGTCCAAAATTGGTGTGCTATGAGAAACTATGCTATTATAATCATAGAAAGCACTAAACCAACAAAGGTCATACAGGACGAGAAACTACAGTAGTGAACTATTGAGTAAAAGTCATCATGCCCATTATTAACATTTTCCGCATGATAATGATAAAAGATATTGGCAGTTTGGAGAGATATATTGTGTATTTTTATATGTACAGGAAGGCCCCGCTTTACGGCGTTTCACTTTACGGCGTTCCGCTAATACGGTCATTTCAAATTATGACCAAAACTCGCTATACGGCTCCCCCCCCCTGACTTTCTAATACGGTCACCGCGCCCCACCCTGTTTGTTTACATTCTTCGTGAGCTCAGTAAGCACTAAGTCTCTCCATTTTGTCTGGAAACTCCAAAATTTCAAATGTTTTTAAAAGTTATTTCATATTTTATATATACTCTGATAATTATACTTATGTATACCTGTACCTAAATAAACTTACATACTGTGCTGGCGTGCAGGTACACATTAAAATCAGTAAGAGTGTCTTATGTCTCCAGACGTCATATTAGTAATGATAATAATCATCGTATGTCGTATATTACGTTAAATACACATTTTCATTAATCCATCCATGATATTTTTTCAAAATTATATAATAAACACGATACATAACATAAAAAGATGTTAAATACACCCCACAATAGAATAAATAAACATAAATATGAGATGTGGTAGCAGAGGACTTGCACAAGTGACACCATATTAGAAATGCTAATAATAATAATAATCACCGAGTCTTATTAAATGTTGTATATTACGTTAATATACACATTTTCATTAATCCATCCATGATATTTTTTTCAAAATTATATAATAAACACGATACATAACATAAAAAGATGATAAATACACCCCACAATAGAATAAATAAACATAAATATGAGATGTCGTAGCCAGATAACTTGTACAAGTGATGCCAAGAATAACATTTTCTCTAATCTAACATAAGAGAAAATGTGTTACTGGGGGTAACTGTAGAAAATTATTCCTTTCGTATGTATGTAAGTAAGTTTATTCAGGTATACACAAATACAGTTACATAGATTATCATACATAACAACATATGTGTAGAGAACCTAGGATAACCCAAAAAAGTCAGAGTGACTTACTTCCATTGCCTTCACTCAGAGCTTCATTTTCTCTCAAAATGATGTTACATGAGAATGGGAGTGTTCTTCTTTATTTATTCTACCGTATCAATGTAGAGACAACCTGTACACAATGTAACTTGTACACAAACCAGACGTGTACACTTCGTTTACAAAACTTACCTTCGCCTGGTTTGTTTACATAACTCTGCGCCTGTCCTCTCTCATGCATTCATTCTTTCTCTCTCTCATTTATTCGTTTTATCTCATTTACTTACTCCTGACCCTACATTAAGACTACAAATATTTTAAGGTAAGTAATGAGTGAACTGTATATACATTTTATTGCTCTGGGATGCTTAAATATCATGGAATTGTATGTGGGTGGGGTGGCCTGGTATGGTAGCCTGGCTGACTACCATACATACCACACTTGATTTTTTACAATAAATACTACTCATCTCACCCTATATTTTAAGGTAAGTAATGAGTGAACTGTATATACATTTTATCGCTCTGGGATGCTTAAATATCATAGAATTGTATGTGGGTGGGGTGGCCTGGTATGGTAGCCTGGCTGACTACCATACATACCACACTTGATTTCTTACAATAAATACTACTTGTCTCACCCTAGATTAAGACTATAAATATTTTAAGATGAGTAATGAGTGCACTATGTGTGTATTGTACTTTTTATTGTTTTTTGATGCCTGGTTCTATTGCTAACTTAATATATGTTAGTGTAAACTTGTTATCTAGTGTTTGTATGCATTTGTAAGTGGAAAAAAAGGGTGTTCCACTTTACGGCGGTTTCCGCTTTATGGCGGTAGCCTGGAACCTAACCAGCCGTATAAGTGGGGCCTTCCTGTACTGTATATACTTCTAAGCTGTTGTATTCTGGGCACCTCTGCAAAAACAGTGATTATGTGTGAGTGAGGTGAAAGTGTTGAATGATGATGAAAGTATTTTCTTTTTGGGGATTTTCTTTCTCTTTGGATCACCCTGCCTCGATGGGAGACGGCCGACTTGTTGAAAAAAAAAAAAGATAAATGTGATAATTCACATTAATTAATGTATAACAAGATAAGTTTTCAACTTTTATTTACAAAGCAGTTACTCTTGCCATGCAATTAGCATTTTATTAATATTATTCTTACTGTTTTATATACCATGCCTAGTAAATTCATATTCTACATGTATACACTGTCCAGTTAAAAGTATGTATAATTATTACTGTATTTATTTAGGTTTGAATTTTTAAACTACAGTATATAAATAAATATTTTGGCATTATAAAAATAGTTAACACTTGTTTTACTTGTAACTGATAGGATATAAAAACATTACATTTTCTGTATTTGTTTATATACAGTGGAATCTCGGTTGTCGAATTTAATTTGTTCCAGATGTCAATTCGACAACCAAAATAGATGACAAACAAAGCAATTATTCCCGTAAAGAATAATGTAAATAGAATCAATTAATTCCAGTCCTCAAAGGACAGTGTAATAATTTATTAAAAATGTACTACTACTACATAAAACTGTAAAAATGGATACTAAAAGAAACTAACTGAAATACTGTACAGTAAATTAAAATTTAACTGCTGCTTATCTGTCAGAGGAAAGCTACTGGCATACTGGAAGCAGGAGGTGGAGGAGAGGGGTATGTTACTGCTGGGAAGGAGAGCTGCCTTTTATTAATATGCCAGGCAACTGTCCTTCTGGTGTTGTTTCTCTTTTTCTCTCTCTTAATCACTAACACCTTGTTCTGGCTCACTGGTTCTTTGTCTCACTAAGAACCTGTCCAATGAAGTTTGTTTCAGGCTCCATTTTAACACTTAACTAAACCACCACCACTACCATTACCACAGCCAACACCACTGCCATCACCACTATATCTAAATCAAGACAGCAAACTCCTGCACCTCATGCCATTTAGCACACATTTCCTTGACAGGTGTAATGACAGTGGCTTATCTCACAATAAAAAAAATTGCACCAAAACTGCAAAATAACAAAAAGGTTCACAAGATGCACAACAAAAACTCAAGAGATGATTACAGTACGCGAGTTAGTGGCTATAGTGACTCAGACCCACTGTCGACTCATTGCCCAGTGCGCATTCTGTGAGCACATAACCCGAGCCATTCACATTGCCGGTTAACAGCCAAGAGAATGTACAAAAACCAAGACTTTTTTTTCTCAAATTCCTCATTCGAAAACTGATTGTTCAACAAGTAATGCAATCGACAACCGGGATTCCTCTGTATTTTCTTAGTGGTTCAAACTCGTGTAATTATATATATGTGTGTGTGTGTGTTATGTTTTATAGTAGTACAGTTGTACAACTCATGTTTCTGATTTTATTTTTAGCTTCAATCTGTGGAAGGTAAAGTTCTGCATGATTCTTTCTTCCCCAAAGGTTTTATAATTATTTTTGAATGTATTATCCACAAAATATTTTCAAATACTGCTGCTTTAGGTGACTATGCGAGTGATGCGTGAGAAACGCGACGCCCTAATGTCTGTCCTGCGGCCCTTCATCCATGACCCTCTGGTGGAGTGGTCTCGAGGTGATAAGAGTGCAAAAAATACAGGAGAGATCAACAATGAAAAGGTACACAGAGGGAATTATTATTTTCTTTAACCCTTTGACTGTTTTGGTCGTATATATACGTCTTACGAGCCAGTGTTTCGGACATATATACAGTGGACCCCCGGTTCACGATATTAATCCGTTCCTGAGAGCTCATCGTAAACCAAAAATATCGGAAAACGAATCAATCTTCTCCATAAGAAATAATGGAAATCAAATTAATCCACGCAAGACACCCAAAAGTATGAAAAAAAAAACTTTTACCACATGAAATACATATATTAAGTTTAATGCACACAAACTGAAGAAGACATGCACAGTTTGTAGTATGTACTCTACTAACAATAGAATACATTACACTTACCTTTAATGAAGATCTGGTGATGACTGATGGGATGGGAGGAGGGGAGAGTGTCGAACCCATTGTTTAGAAGGGGAATCCCCCACCATTAGGACTTGAGGTAGCAAGCCCTTTTCCGGGGTTACTTCCCTTCTTCTTTTAATGCCATTAGGACCAGCTTGAGAGTCACTGGACTTATGTCGCACAACATATCTGTCCATAGAGGCCTGTACCTCTCGTTCCTTTATGACTTTCCTAAAGTGGTTCACAACAGTGTCATTGTACAGGTTGCCAACACGGCTTGCAGTAGCTGTCTGAGGGTGATTTTCATCAAAAAAAGCTTTGCACTTCAACCACCCTTTTCACACATTTCCCCTAATCTTTGAAGTAGAACTTCTTCACTTTTCCCCCTCCCCTCCTCCAAAGCAGTTTCCTCAGATCTGGCCTCTTGCTGTTGAAGATGATCTAGCAGCTCATCAGTGGTTAGTTCGTCATTGTCCTCCTCCATCAACTCTTTAACATCCTCCCCACTAACCTCCAACCCCAAGGACTTCTCCAGTGCCACAATGGATTCCTCAACTGGCATAGGCTTCTCAGGGTTAGCCTCAAACCCTTCAAAATCCCTTTTGTCTACACATTCTGGCCACAGTTTTTCCAGGCAGAGCTCAAGGTCCTCTTAGTCACTCCCTCCCAAGTCTTACCTATGAGGTTTACAAATTGAGGATATTAAAGTGATCCTTCCAAAACTCCTTTAGAGTCAATAGAGTGTCTGTGGTCACTTCAAAGCACCTTTCAAACATAGCTTTTGCGTACAGTTCCTTGAAGTTTGGGAAAAGACCTGCTGGCCATGGGGGCAGGAGAGGAGTGGTATTAGGAGCAAAAACTTGACCTTAATGAAGCTCATGTCCCCAGAAAGTCACTCTGCCAAGTCTGTAGGATGACCAGGGGCATTGTCTAATACCAGGAGGCACTTAAGGTCTAATTTCTTTTCAATTAGGTAATTTTTCACATTGGGGGCAAATGTATGATATAACCAGTCATAGAAAAAGTCCCTAGTGACCCATGCCTTAGTGTTTGCCCTCCACAGCACACACAAATTAGCCTTGAGGATATTCTTTTGCCTGAACGCTCAGGGAGTTTGAGTGATACACCAATAAAGGCTTCACTTTGCAATCACCACTAGCATTGGCACACATCAGAAGAGTAAGCCTGTCTTTCATAGGCTTATGTCCTGGGAGTGCCTTTTCCTCCTGAGTAGGTCCTGCTTGGCAATTTCTTCCAAAACAGGCCTGTTTCGTCGCAATTAAACACATGTTCAGGTTTCATGTCTTCACTTCATGTTTAAACCTGAATTCCTTCACAAATTTTTCAGCTACTTTTTGGTCTGAACCCGGCAGCCTCACCATGCCTAATCACACTATGTAGCCACTACGATTCTTAAATCTTTCAAACCAACCTTTGCTGGCCTTAAATTCACTCACATCACCACTAGTTGCAGGCAATTTCTTTACCACATCGTCATGCAACTGCCTAGCCTTTTCACAAATGATCGCTTGAGAGATGCTATCTCCTGCTATCTGTTTTTCATTTATCCACACTAATAACAGTCCCTCAACATTTTCTAACACTTGCGGTCGCTGTTTCGTAATCACAGTTGCACCTTTTGCAACAACAGCTTCTTTGATTGCCGTTTTCCTGGTCACTGTAGTAGAGATGGTTGATTGGGGTTTTGTATACAACTTGGCCAGCTCCGACACACGCACTCCACTTTCGTACTTTGCAATTATCTCTTTCTTCATTTCAATAGTCATTAGCACCCTTGGTCTCGAAGGGTTGGCACTACAAACTTTCTTGGGGCCCATGGTGACTTATTTTGCAGAAACAAGCACCAAAAACACTGTGATAATATGGAATGTACCGAATGTATCCTTAGATGCGAGCACATGGCTGGCTTGTAAACACTGGCACACATGGGGCAGTTCAGGCCACACGTGGACATGTCTCGGACGAATCGCGTATACCGGGTTTTGTAACGGGAACCGAGGCAAATTTTTTGCGATATAATGCATCGCATACCGGATTTATCGGATACCGATAGCATCGCGAACCGGGGGTCCACTGTATACTCAATAATTCTAGCGGCTTCAAATCAAGCAGGAGAAAACTGGTAGGCCCACATGTGTAGAGAATGGGTCTGTGTGGTCATTGTGCACCACATAAAATCCTGCAGCACGCAGTGCATAAGAAAAAAAAATTGACCGTTTTTTTTTTTTTTTTTTTTTTTTTTTTATTAAAATGCCGACTTTGAGGTGTATTTTCGTATAGTATTTATCGTTGTCTTCTCGTTTTCATGGTCTCACATGATAAAATGGAAAACATATTACAGAAATAGAGATGATTTTGATTAGTTTCACGATGAAAACGACCTTGAAATTGAGCTCAAAGTAGCGGAAGTGTTGATTTTTACCAATGTTCAGGAGTAAGCAAATCACACCACACATCCAGTACACGTCATCTGGTGAGTCTAATATTCTTTCACTAGTGCACTGATATTATTTATACCACTTTTACAATAATGCAGTAGTCTGCATAACAGTAAATTTTGTATTTTTTGTATGAATAAAAAATCAAAATAGAAAGCAATAGTAATATAAGAGGGGCCTAGACATGACTAATGAACAGAGGATATGTTATTTTAGTGCCAAGAATGTCTACGTTGTTTATTCTGGACCCTGTTTTGAAATTGGCATCTTCTTTAATTTGCGTGAAATTGGCCAAATTGCCAATTTCTGACCACTTTATTGGGTAGTTCAAATCAGTAAATGGTTGGTTTCTTGTACTAAACTGATAGAAAAAATGGAGTTCTAAAAAAAATAGCTATGAGTTTGGTCAACTGGAACAACAGAATTGGCCAAAAACGGGGCTCAAAGTCGGCGAAATCACCGATGCGTATATGTCGCCAAGAGCTCTAATTTCGCGGGAGCGTAATTCCGTGAGTTTTTGACGAAATTTCATACTATTGGTGTCATTTCACAAGAATTTTTTTTTTTTTTTTTTTTTTTTCCAAAAATTTTGCGACATAGAATGACAGCTTCAGAAAGGGGCTTGCAACAGTCAAAGGGTTAAGCTTTCTCATTGTTATTATTATTATAATCAAAACTAAGTGCTAGACCCACAAGGGTCAGCTTTTGCAGTAATACTCTAATTTTTTTCATGCTCTTAGTCTTTCACACTTATTTTATATAGCTACAAAAAGAATTGCTGTGTGTTTTATATGAGTATGGCACTTTTTTAATATAATAATTATATAATATTGTATAGGCCATACAGTATTATGCACAGGGTTTCAAGCAACTCATAATCTGTATATAAATGGTTCAGAGAACCTACAGATAATGTAATAATTAATGTTAAAGGTTATTGTTAGGTAAATAGTTTAGTGCTTGTATTCAAATACATAAAATAATAAGTCCTGTTTTCCCTCTATTTACTACAAAATTTTCTCTTCAGAATATCATTCAAGTTTTTGCAAAATCATTATTACCCTTTTGATTTTGATAAATTAGACACATGTGCAACACTTGGATATCTTTACTGAGGAAACGTTTTGCCACACAATGGCTTCATCAGTCCATACAAAGGAGAATGGTGAAGAAACGTTCCCTCAGTAAAGATACCCATGTTGTACGTGTCTATTTTATCAACTTGTCGGTTCTCTGAATCATTTATCTACATTTTGATTTTATGTTTGATACTTTTCATTAGCAATAAATTTATTCCAGAAGTGAATTAAAAAAAAAAAAAAATTCTTTCTCAGGCCCAGATGCACGTCAGTAATATTGAACATCGTCTCAGTGGCCAGATTCGCACCAAGGCACGAGGTCCAAACTTACCATTGTCTGTGGAAGGGCAAGTAAATTCATTAATTGAGGAAGCTACCAATATTGACAATCTCTGCCAAATGTATATTGGGTGGGCAGCTTACATGTAGTATAACTAGCATGTGGAGAGCTTTCATTAAACAGATTATTTGTTCCCATGGTTATATATTTGTACAAAGAAGAATTTTATATTACATATATTTAGTAATATCTGTAACAAATGTATTTAGATATTAAAATATGAAAAAAAGGCATATTCCAAACTGTTGTTCTCTCAGGTAGTTTTAACATTCATGTCTTTAAACCTTTTGCATATCATTCAAATAAATATGGTATAATTTCTTACTTTTTTAATAAATGTTTTAAAAAAATAAAATTTCAATAAATCCCACATAAAAAATATTGAATACATGTTTAACACAAATGATGGACTTCTGTGCCAGCCTTTGTGGAGTGTGGACACCTCGCTCTACACCTGCCTTTAGTGTCAGCAATGAGTTTTCCCTGTTTGCTTCCCAGAATGCTGGTAATTGTTCAGAGCACCATGAATCAGCTCTGTAGGCTTGGGGAAATCTTGTCATTGTTGACTGGAGTAGAGGTGGGGTGTGGGTGTCTGGCTCTATTGAAGTTGAGGCCTAATTGGAAACAGTTACTTTTTTTTTTTTTTAGGAGGAAACTTTTTTCCCCTCCATTACCTACCCAGATTTGGGCAAAATCATTCACCAGACTTTTGAGAGCAGAGTTCATATGACATATGGTGGTGTATTATTATTATTATTATAATCAAGGGGAAAGCACTAAACCTGTAGGATTATACAGCACCTGTGGGGGGGATGGAAGGTATTCAGAGAACTGGAGCACAGATCCAGTTCCCTAGATCAAGAGCCCCTCACCAGCATCAAGGAACCTTCCTTGAGGGGTATTATTATCAAAAAGAATCTCTAAACCCACTAGGATCATACAGCACTGCAGGGCAGGGAGTGATGCAGGATCAAAGGATAAGCATGAGTAAGACGGGTGTGCCCAATGTGAAGACGGGAGAGTACAGTCTCCCTACCTCAGCACTGATAGTAAGGCCAGAAACCAAAACTTGGTTTGATAGAATGTAATTTGTTACGAGTCATATTGGACCAACGTTGTTGCCACCAGTTGCAAAGATGGCTAGAGATTACAGCAAAATAGTCTGAGAATGGACGACCTTTATGTGAAACTGGGAGGTCATGTACTGCGGACTGTGCAGCAAAGTCTACCTGCTCATTGCCCTGAACATCAACATGACCAAGGACCCAACAGAAAACAATATCTTTGTTTTTGCTGGAAATGTGGCACAACCAAAACTGTATACAAAGAACTAGCCTTCACCAACAACCTGTTACTGGTTGAGTGGCCAGAACTCCTGTCCCTCCTGCCTCATGTTCACTCCTGTTCTGCACTTACCTGGTGCTATCCCAATGTTCTCTATAAGCCACCCTATCACAAATGTTAATTTTGTCAGTATTGTTATTACTGAAAATAGATGCACCTCCAAGAGTTGTGACTTGTGGGATTAAGCCAGCCCATCACTGCAGTGCTTTAAATTCAGTAGGAGTGAGTAGCCCTGCTTTGAAAAAGTAATGTGTTATTCTGTTCATAAAAGCATTGCACCTTGATTTGTGCTCTTCAGGATTACTTTTTGGACTGTGGTGCTCGTTCTCTTCTAGAAAGACATTGATTGATGGTGGAATTATTTTCTTCTTTAGATCACCCTGCCTTGGTGGGAATGGACAATGTGTTAAAAAATTATTAAATAAAATAAATTTGCTAAGACAACAAAAGCTTAGTATAATCTGGCTAAGCTTGTATTAGTTTAAATACCTTATCAATTTGAAGACTTTTAGTGAGATAAATTAATGAGTGCTATAATCTAGTTATATACTGTACTGCATGCCTCTGGCAAGACAGTGATAATGTGAATGATGATGAAAATATTTCTTTTTCAGTAATTCTGCCTTGGTGGGAGATGGGCAGAATGTTAAAAAAATATATACAAGTTAGATTATATCTTTCTTATCAGCATCTGTAATGGCCATCGACATATTTGCTTAACTGATTACAGTACATGCACTTTTTTAATGGTGCTGTCAATCATATTTATTGATTAATGCATAATGTAAACATTTCCAGAACTGAAATATGAAAGTTTAGTGTGACCAATCACAGTTGAGTCTCCACAGCTGGTTAAACATTTAGGTACCAAAAAGAATACGACTGGTGACTGCACCTCTATAAGAGTGCCTTGTCAAACTTAATGAATTTCCTGTCCTATTCACAAGATGACACCTTCATTACCCTTTTAACGGTCAGAGAATCTACAAGAACTGCTCCAGCAGGTCCTGCTAAGTGTGCTTCAACCAGTACCAGTGTGCATCCATGGAACACTATACAGGTAACATTTTGATATGAATTAATATATCTCAATTGTTATTCCATTATGTAGGCCAAAATACCAGGCTCTTTGGTTTGCCCTATGGTCACATTATTCTCACAGGCTAGGCTGTGGCTAAGTTTCCTTGGGGGATGCTTGAGCCATTATTAGGATCTTCATAAATTTTTATGCTAGTATTATGTAGTGCACTGAGCCTGAGAGTTTCATCTTGGTAACTGCGCAAGTTGTAAAGAGCTGAAGTGCACCAGTCAACAAAAATTATTATAAATAATAATAACATGCAATAATGTTCCTGGACTAAAACCTGAGTAATAAAAATATCATTCTGCAGTACTAGTGTGTTAAATGGATAATTGCATTAGGAATAAATAAGTGGCAGACAGACAGGCAGGCATTACAGGCATGGCAGGCTCGAGCAAGTAGAGCAGGCAAGGCAGGACAGGTCAGGCCAGAGAAGGCAGGACAGAACAGGCCAGAGCAGGCAGGACAGGACAGGCCAGAGCAGGCAGGAAAGGAGAGGATAGGCACCTGAAGTCAGTACCTGGCCATACGGGCTGTGGTTCATACGTCAGTTTGCGTGCGGCCAGCAATAACAGCCTGGTTGATCAGACCCTGATCCACCACGAGGCCTGGTCTCAGACTGAGCCACAGGGGCCTTGACCCCCAAAACCCTCTCCAGGTAAATAGGCCAGAGCAGGCAGGGCAGGACAGTACAGGCCAAACCAGAGCAAGCAGGGCAGGACAGGCCAAACCAGAGCAGGCAGGGCAGGACAGGCCAAGCCAGAGCAAGCAGGGCAGGGCAGGCCAAGCCAGAGCAGGCAGGGCAGGGCAGGCCAAGCCAGAGCAGGCAGGGCAGGACAGGCCAAGCCATAGCAGGCAGGGCAGGACAGGCCAAGCCAGAGCAGGCAGGGCAGGACAGGCCAAGCCAAAGCAGGCAGGGCAGGACAGGCCAAGCCAGAGCAGGCAGGGCAGGACAGGCCAAGCCAGAGCAGGCAGGGCAGGACAGGCCAAGCCAGAGCAGGCAGGGCAGGACAGGCCAAGCCAGAGCAGGCAGGGCAGGACAGGCCAAGCCAGAGCAGGCAGGGCAGGACAGCCAAGCCAGAGCAGCAGGGCAGGACAGCCAAGCAGAGCAGCAGGCAGGAGCAGGCCAGAGCAGGCAGGGCAGGACAGCCAAGCCAGAGCAAGCAGGACAGGACAGGCCAGAGCAGGCAGGGCAGGACAGGCCAAGCCAGAGCAGGCAGGGCAGGACAGGCCAAGCCAGAGCAGGCAGGGCAGGACAGGCCAAGCCAAAGCAGGCAGGGCAGAACAGGCCAAGCCAGAGCAGGCAGGGCAGGACAGGCCAAGCCAGAGCAGGCAGGGCAGGACAGGCCAAGCCAGAGCAGGCAGGGCAGGACAGGCCAAGCCAGAGCAGGCAGGGCAGGACAGGCCAAGCCAGAGCAGGCAGGGCAGGACAGCCAAGCCAGAGCAAGCAGGACAGGACAGGCCAGAGCAGGCAGGGCAGGACAGGCCAAGGCAGGGCAGGACAGGCCAAGCCAGAGCAGGCAGGGCAGGACAGGCCAAGCCAGAGCAGGCAGGGCAGGATAGGCCAAGCCAGAGCAAGCAGGGCAGGACAGGCCAAGCCAAAGCAAGCAGGGCAGGACAGGCCAAGCCAGAGCAAGCAGGGCAGGACAGCCAAGCCAGAGCAGGCAGGGCAGGACAGCCAAGCCAGTCTTAGCCAGAGCAGGAAGGGGAGGACAGAGCAGGCAGGGCAAGTCAGGCAAGAGCAGGCAGGGCAGGGCAGGCCAGAGCAGGCAGGGTAGGACAGGCCAGAGCAGGCAGGACAGGACAGGCCAGAGCAGGCAGGACAGGACAGGCCAGAGCAAGCAGGACAGGACAGGCCAGAGCAAGCAGGGCAGGACAGGACAGAGCAGGCAAGGCAGAGCAGGACAGGACAGAGCAGGCAAGGAAGGGCAGGATAGGACAGACCAGAGCAGGCAAGGCAGGGCAGGACAGGACAGGCCAGAGCAGGCAGGGCAGGCCAGAACAGGCAGGGCAGTACAGGACAGACCAGAGCAGGCAGTACAGGACAGTCCAGAGCAGGCAGTACAGACAGGCCAGAGCAGGCAGGCCAGAGCAGCAGTCAGGACAGTCCAGAGCAGGCAGTACAGGACAGTCCAGAGCAGGCAGGACAGGCCAGAGCAGGCAGGACAGGCCAGAGCAGGCAGGACAGGACAGAGCAGGCAGGACAGGACAGAGCAGGCAGGACAGGACAGAGCAGGACAAGCAAAGCAGGATAAGGTTGGGCAGGCAGATGAGCAGAAGGCTGACAGACACAATAAAGGCAAAGCAAGGCAGAGAGATTTAATATTTACTCGTTTGTTGCAGTCTCACCGCCCGCGGTTGTCTGCGGGCGGTGTATGCCCCAGCCTGCAGGGCAGGCTGGGGCATACACAAGAAGGCAGGACAAGCCAGAGCAGGCCAGACCAGAGAAAGTATGGCAGGATAGGCAAGGGAAGGACAGGGTGGGGCGGGCAGGCAGGCAGATAGACAGGCAGCAGAACAGGGTTGGGCAGGTAGGTGGACAGTCAGCAGAACATGGATGGGCAGGTAGCAGAGCAGGGTTGGGCTGGTAGGTAGGTAGGCTGGTAAGCAGCAGAACAGGGTTTAATAACATCTTTATTTCTACAAGTACAAGGTATACAGACCATAGCTTACATCAATTACATACTACTATATAGAAAGCCTTGTTATGCAGAGCATTTCGGGTAAATTAGGTCAATTTTGTCCCAGGACGCGACCCACACCAGTCCGCTAACACCAGGTACCCGTTTTACTGATGGGTGAACAGGTGTAAGGAAACACGCCCTCAGCGTGTGAATAGAGGGCTTTACCTACCAGGCCACAGGTTGGGCAGGTAGGTAGGCAGTGCGCAGGAAGAGATTGGTAAATTATTATACTCATAACTAAGCGTTAAACCCACAAGGGTTAGAGACTGGTAATTGTAGCTTTAATATATACACTTTCTGTCAGTCTCCCACCGCACACGTCAGGTTCAGGTGCAGCTTTCCTACCTTTGCTTGCATCTCTCCCCTCCTCCCCTAATCCTTCCCCTCACCTCCCCC